AAATTGGTCTTAACTCCTTCTCCGTTCAGAATCGGCCCAATACTACGTCAAATGAACTTTTTTGTTGAAAATTTTGTCTAGAATAACCCATCAGAGTTTGGCCATTAAGAACTGAGACAACCTGAATAATAACTATACTTATATTATATGATAATTATAATAACGTTATTACAAAATGTAAAATATAATAATGATATAAAGCAAATTCATGACCATTTATTTGAAAATTAGGAATACTACTAAAAGCAACTTTAGCCACGAGGAGACAATGAGCTTTTACATCAAACATTTCAAATAATAAAACAATTAAGTCGACGTTAAGTTAAGAAGAATAAACTAAGTAAAAAGTTAATTTTAAAGATATAAATATGAGCTATATAAGAATGTCTTAAAAAATAAACCAAGATAAAATATATAGATATATTGAGAATGGCTAAGCGTTCACCTTTGATAACTTCATAATATATAAAATAAAGTGAGATTTAATACCAGGGGCCATTGTCTCCCTGCCTCTGGTCGGAATTAATTTCGAAGCTTCTTTAAAGCCCTTATCCCAATATCCCCTTCAATATAATATCCTGTCGATAGGTTTAGCTGGAGGAAATGAAATTTACAAAACGCCATATTGAGGCAGGGGTTAGGCTGAAGAAACTATCTAATCTCCTTCAACCCCTCATAATACATAATTGGTAATTTTGTCTAGCAGGGTGCTTTTGATCATCTAAAATAACATAAACTGGTAATGGTCATTGCACTCATGGCCACAATAATTAATAAGCCTCTCTCCCAATAATTTGAGGTAAAAGAAGTCAAAATTAATAATAAATAACCTCTATGAATGAATATAATATATTGACTAACCGTAAGATCTATTAAGAAAATAAAAAAGTCGACTATCTGGCAAGGCTTAGACCTAGAAGTAGGTATGTAACTGTTTTATCCCGAAGTAAATGTTACTATTATTAAAATTTTCATTTACATATCCTCAAAAATAATAATTTATGGCAACATATCGCAGGATTTTATGATTAAATCATCTCTCATCTGCATCCCTTCATTTAATGTGATATGAGATGCACCCTTTCGATTTTTATTGGGGGATGGTGGACCAAACAAAATGGCTAGAGTTTTTATTGCGTATAAAAATGCAATATAATTATTATGAAACGAACAAATATAATATTGAATATTTTAAATTAATTTGTTTATATGTTTGTATGGTTGTAAGGATTTGTATTTAGTTTGTTTTACTTATTATATATAGTTGAAAATATCTTTAAAAAATACAATTGAATATATAACGTATTTGTTGAGATTAAACACAGTTCATAAAACATAATTTTAAACTGAAACTAAAAAAATCCTGCCAAATAAATCAGTATGGCTTTTTATTTGTTTTATCGTCATTTAAATTGAGTCAACAACGAGAGGCAAATTGATTGTTTCTTTCAACTTGTTTTCAAAAATATATTCTCCTCTTTGACATAACAGGGTGTATAAAAAAAAAAAAATGACCGTTTTTCAACCAAATATTTTTATTATTATTTCTTTGATATAAAATACAATTAACACTCAAAGTATAGTCCATTACATTGTTATCTACCGTCATCAGCCATCTGCTAGGCAATTGCTGATACCATTCATTTGGGATGGCTGTCAAAGAACTCTTGGGCTGCAATTTCAACTTCTCCAAAATTATCAAATTTTTTCCCTTCAAGAAAATGGGCCATGGATCTATATAAGTAATCATCCGAAGGTGCGAGGTCTGGATTATATGATGGTACTATAAAATATCATATCAGAAGGTTTTTTCAATAAATTATCACAAATTAACCTCTTAGCTGAAGGCTGAGGAGTAAGTTCGTGAGGGACCAGTCTACTGCTCTTTTTCACCTTCTTCATGGAGAGTAGATAGCGATTAACAGAATCTTTCGACGCACCACATTCTCTGACAAGTTCGCGAGTACGCGATTTGGGATTTGACTAAACGGCTTTCTGCAGAACCTCATCAATATCCATGAATGCTCGTCCGGAGCCTTTCTACCTTTCCAACGTCGTATCTCCACTGCTAATTTTTTCAAACCCACGCCGCCCAGTGTGCTGGCCAAGGATCCCTTTCCCTTCATATTTAATAATTTCACGAGCACCTTCAGCGGTTGTTATTTTTTTTTTCTTTTTATTGGTTATTTTTCTGAATTTAATAGAAATTTCTAAAATAAAGTTTTAAATCTACACATAGATAAATACGGAATACACGCTTACTCTACACGAGGATTTTAATTGTACTTAAAAATTGAATGGAATATTCCAAATAAAAAGTTTAGTAAATCGAATGAAAACAGTTCCTCTCAAAGTTTAAGCATTCATATTGAGGCTGATTTTTCGGCTCTGTTCGACGATATCATGGTCGGTAGTCGGAATATAAATGGGCATTTTCAGCGAATGAAAGAAGCTTTTAAACTGCTACAAGATGAAATGGTACTGGACGGAGCGTGAGAATAAATGTTATCGCAACCACAGGTGGATCTACGAGGGGGGGAGGGGGGGCTTTCGGGCTGAAGCCTACCTCTCCCCTCCTCTCCCCCCCCCAAAATGGTAAAATATAACCATGATTTACAGAAAAAAATATTAAATACTATCTTTTATTGTATTCTTGTACGTGTAATTATATTTAATAAGACTTCAAGAACCACTTAAACTCTATTTCATATAGGTAGTTAATTTCTTTCATTTTTTTCAAATTAATTATCGTTTTATGTATATGAAAAAAAAATCTTTCGGGCTGAAGCCCCCCCCAAAAAAATTAAATTCTGGATCCGCTAGTGATTGCAACACACTCCTTCAAAGTTCGTTTTGAAGGTTGCTGAGAAGAGAATTTGGAAATGAAAGAACTACTACCCAAGAAGGTCAAAAAGTATCAGTTGAAGAGAAGATACGATGTTAGGGAGTGAAAAAGAAGGTGAAGGAGGTCATGAGCCTAGAGTAGAAGTACTGAAGGAGACTGATAATTACATACTAATATACTTTAAAAACAATACATGTTTACTTAATGCTTATTAATCCTTTCAAATGAACGCTTTATCAAAAATAAATAAATACTACCCAAGGGTAATTCAACTTATAAACTAAAATGGATCTTAATGACGCAGATGGATGTAGCTGAAATTTGATTTAATTTTGTATTATGAATCTGTCTCAATCAAAATTAGATGTTCGGAAGATATGAACTAAAAAAAATGGTTTTTTATTCGATTTATTTGGGTATTTGATCAGGATATTATTACTAGTTTGAGAGAGTGGGTTCACTTAGTGGTAGAGCGCTGACTACCAATATTTATGATCCCAGGTTCGAATCTCGGCTGATAATGGCAGAACAATTATTTTTTCTGCTTCTTTGAACATGGGTCGACACTGCGGTATACCCAGCCTCTGTATAGTGGATGTTCTTAATTCAATAATCAATTAAAGGAAAAAAACCTGGCGGTTGAGCGTGGCCTTGGTCAAATCACCTTCTTGCATAACAGTTGACCAAGAAACAGTACTTCCTTATAAAGTACTGAGCCCAAGGCCCTTCATGGGCTGAGTGTTACAGGTAGGTATTACTGGCTTAAAAAAACAATACAATTTATTTTACATGGTAAAATGGTATGTCGTTGTTATTAAAGATGATATATTCATCAATAGTGAAGAGAAAATGATTTTTCAAATACCTTGAAAAATAGGTTTTTTTGCCTTCCAATCACTGTTAATGATGGTAGTTGGTGAAGGTGGTTATGTGAGATAAAATGTATATTTATTTCTACAACTCCACTTGAATGGTCCACAACAAGGATTACAAATGTATAACTCAATGAAAATGTCCTCCTTTCACCTAATTTTATAGTAGAAATGCTTGTATAATACACGAACATTATCAATCGATACTGTAACATGTTTTCCCACAAGTGTTTAACAAAAAAAAACCATCACATTTGCCCTGAAGTTAAATTAGTTAAAAATGTTGTTTACTACTGGTCCGTCTACATCAAATAGCTAATCAGTAAAAACCTACGGTAAGTGAAGTGGACAAAAAGGTTATGCTTCATTCGATTTTTGGATTTCATCTACCTTGAAATATAAACCCTCACAATTAGCACCTTTGCTAATAATGGACTGATTTTTATGATCTTTTTTCAAGACCTACACTTTTTTAAATTTTACTTTCCCTTGCATTATTTTTAAGAAGAGGAGAGCAACAATATAATTTTGAAGAGGTGGGAAGATGGGCACCCCTGCAATCTCTATGGAATTAAGATATTTTTCATAAATAATATTTATTTAACAAAGTAGCCCTTGAGAAATAGATTTTAAAAATAAAGAATGTTTGGAATTCAAAATCTATGTTTAAAGTAAACATAAAGAGTCAATACTGAAAGTCAAAACAGGATTGGCACAATTTTAAATGTTTACTGTTGCTCTGGTCAAACCAAATTAATCCTGTTTTATTCCCTATTATATCCTACAATAAAATTTAATTTTTGCTATATATTTGCTATAGCAACATGAGTAAAACCAGTGAATATTATGTCAGTTTAAAAACCATTAAGTTGCCAAGAAATAGTGAATTAATTAGAAATTAGTTTATAAGAGTTAATATTTTAAATTCTATCTTAAATCTGTCAAATAAATTACCATTTGCAGAGGGTTAAATATGAAGCATATAGAGATGGCCAAATATGCATATTGTGAACCCATTAATTGTAATATTTTAAATTATGTTATATATAATTATAGTATATATAATACAAAAATAAAAATATCTAATAGAGACCCATCCATATATTTTGACAAATAGGTTTGTATCTTTAAAAAAGTTTATAAATCTATTTAAAGATTTATAATTACTGTGCAAATTTATTTACCACTCGACAATGATGGAAAAAGATTTAATTATGTCATTCACAAATCTAATGATAATTTCATCTCTGAATGAAGAGTTAGTCATTAAACAGAGATAAAACCAGGATAAAAGATTGATGTGCTAGCTATATCAGTTGACAATAGAATCTTGAGGAGACAGGATGAGAACAGTGTCTCTGGCATGGATTCTGCTAACATTGAGTTCTGTATTTGCTTCCGATCCTATTCAATGTAGAGATGAAAACAACAACCCTGTTGATTGGTAAAAAAAAGTTTAATTTTTGTATATAATTGTAGATTACTCCCAAAATAATTTTCTAATTATATTATCAAATATATTATCAATGTACTAGTTTATTAGATAAATCACTGATTATATCACTATGTTTATATTAATGTAATGTAAAATAAAGTTCAATTAACTAAAGAAATTAGGGGAATTGCTCCCACATCATTAAATGAATACCTGTGACATGTAGTTTTTTTTATTGGATCAGTTATATTGCTTGGAAAATCATGAGGAAATTAATTTAATAACTATAACAATCAAATATTCAGCAAAAACTTAATTTTAAGTCTATAACAGAAACAGATATTCCAAGCCAGTATTCTACTGAATACTTTTATAACTTTGTCAATTATTACAACCATTGCATTCTGTGAAATGATATCCCTATATCATAAGATATCACTAAATTTTTGATAGGCATTATAACTCATGATAATAAATAATAGATATCTAGTTTAATTTAACCAGTATCTTTTTAATTCCAGGTTTGTTGTCAATAAATTTCCTCTCATCAAATACGCTAAGCAGTCGTTAATAAAAACTGGAAAAGGTTATATGTACATTACAGACACCCAATTAGATGACGGATGGCAAATTTCTGAAAGGAGCATAGATGCTGAGGACTCAATTATTGCTAATACACTATCATTTTTGGATAATGTAAAGAAGGATGATGTAAGATTAATTATCCATCTATTCATAAAAATATAAGTATGCTTTTCCAATTACAATACATACCTAACAAGTGCATATTGAACATAAAGGTTCCTTGAAAAAAATCCGGTATAAAGAGAAATATTACATGTTTTGCATCTTTTCATGCTAAAAAAAATTGCAATTCCTTTTTAGCCTCAAAGAACTATGAAATCAATTATTTAGGATACTACTTATCTACATTTCAATGCTATTTCAGTTACTTTACCAACATTTTGAATTCAAAACAATTTAATTCCTGATTCACGGTATTAGTAAATTGTTAATACCAATTTATTTTTAGACACATCATTATTTTTCAAATATGTTTTTATTTATTTTATTAGATCATATTTTTCGTTTGAATAATAACATACCGAATAATTATCATTTAGAAGACAATTTCATTTCAAGGAATTCAAACTTAATCGGAATTTAAATTTAAATTTTCCTTTGTACTAGGAATTAGATACATAGAATTAATTCTAATATTCTCTCTCATTTTTACTTTCACTTACCTATGTATGAAATATATAGTAAGGGAAAGTATTGCAAGCGTGTAATGTTGGAATTTTCGAATTCGAGTGATTTTTTTTTTTTTCAGGAATTTAACACAACACAATTATTATTTCAAGCTTATTATTATATTTCAAATGTAAAATAAATATTTTTAAATTCTTCTTCATGTTTCACTCAGATGAGCCTACTTTTAAATTAATTTACAAACATTGCAATTAAGGTTTTGAAACAGAATGAGGGTTGTGCGCCTCTTACGTAGTTATTGTTACGGGTTCGTGAAGTATTAAAATAAAAATAGCATAAAATTCAACGTATCTCTAATGGACGCCACTAGCGAACAGATTCAAGCCAAGCATGCTCATGCTGTTCATAGGTCCTAACCCGTGTTGCCACTTTTACTGTTATATTTATTGGTGCTTTATAAATAATTTACATTGGTAAACTGCCTATCTCATTTATACAGTCAATAAATAGGAAATAATAAAGTAATTTTTCACAACAATTTCCTTCCTAAAATGTCTTATTATTTCTTTCTTAATGCCTCAGCTCAACTACACCTGAATTCTCTAATTGTCTCTCTTTCATTTCTTTAGTCATATTCTAGTTTAAAATGTCTGCTATCTCTTCCTCTGTTTCTCCCCAACTACATCGTTGACGAAGTGGAACTGTTTATGTGGTGTGTTCCTTTTCCTTGTCCACCAATTTTCAACAATGTCTCTACCTGTTTCTGAGATAATCTTGCTTTTTCTTTAGTTCCTTCCTTTCTTTGTAGCTAAGCTTCTTAGCTAGCCCTGTTACAACTGGTTTTTCTTTTATTTATTTATCTTTCTTCCCTTCTTCTTCAGGTTAATTTTTTTTCTGCAATATTCATTTAAACTGGACTTGAAGCATCAGCAATCATTGTCTTTTTAGAGTCAGGTATAGTCTTTCCAGATTTCTTCTTTTTTTTCTCTATTGTTTGATTTTGATCCACTGACCTTTTCTGTAACAAATTTCACTCTTGGATCTTCTTTTCTAACCTGAGCCCTTGACATCCTCAGATTTGGCACATTTTCTAAATTCAGTTCTGCTACTTTAGACTCAATCTCTTTATTTTCAGGAGGATCATTGGAAGCTTCAATCAATGCAATAGATATAATTCTTACATTATCTAATTCTGTTTCAACTGAATTGAAAGCTGGTTATTGTGACAGATCCAATTCAAGAACCTTCTCATCATTTACTTCATATTCCTCTCCAGAAAACGTAACTTTACCCTTCTGTTCGTTTTTTGTCTTATTATGAGGCTCACTATCATTATCCGCAACTACCTTTTGTGTTTCAAAATTGTTGGTCTCTTCTTCATAACTCAGATTATGAAGTTTATTTTTTCCTTTTTTTAGGTTCTTGATTGGCTTAGTTTCTAGTTTAACATCCTTGTTACTATCTCCAGTTCTCATGCCAGTATGGTATGCATCATAATTTTACCTTTGAGAATTTAGTTTGTCTAATTTCTTTAATTTCAGCACCTAAAAGGAAAATCCTTTTCTACTTCTTTTTTTCTCATTTCTTTGTTAAGCATCAACTTTATCTTTTTATTTATTATATTAAATATCTATTATTATGTAGTCCATGTACCTTAATATTTATCTATTTAATTTCTTTTAATATATTTTATAAGAAAAATATCAATTCCTATAGATGCTTTGGTTGGTATACAATGATGAGGGTGATGTGGAATGTTCCAATTGTGGCCACACCAAGGGCTTCATTGCCGGTGACAGTTACAGTGGCTTTTGGTTGATTCATAGTGTACCAAAATACTTACCAGGAAAATATCCAAGAACAGGTCTCAGATACGGACAGAGTGCTTTATGCATATCCCTAAACCACACAAATTTAGACATGATAGGTAGGTATAATTTTTATAATAAAGTCATGTAATTTGCTTTGTTATAGTTATAAGAAAGAACAGTAATATAACAAAAGAATTATGATAAAAATAATTAAGGTTATAAATTGTTTTAGAACAAAAAATGATAATGAATTAAATTTAAATTTGTGAATGATCATACCTTACTACTGACACACCTTGGCAAAATGTATTTTAAATATAATTTTAAAATGCAGTATTTTAAATACCATGTACTCTGTTTTTAAAAAACAGAGTATTTTAATTACAAATTATTTAAATTATTTTTAGAAAATATATTTCAAATACTAAATACTAGAAGAATTTTATATTTTAATTACAAAAAACAAAATACAAATACAAAATACTTTCTGGTTGATCAGCATATAATACAGGGAACCTATTCTATTTGTAATTTATATTGTGTATTTGAAATACAAAATAAAATACTTTTTTTGATTTAGTATCTTGAAAATAAAATACAAATACTTTTTTTGCATTTTATAAAGAAAATACCAATACTTTTTTTTTATTTTATAAAGAAAATACAAATACTTTTTTTGTATTTTATAAAGAAAATACAAATACTTTTTTTGTATTTTATAAAGAAAATACACTTACAAAAATGTATTTTATATTTTACTATTAAAGTATAAAAAATGTAGTTTTTTTTTCTCTCTCTTTCTCGCCTCTACCCTCAAGGGTCATTGGTGTTTTACTACGACTTATATTCTTTTATAATAATCTATTAACTTTAAAAATTCAAACAAAGTATTGATTCTTTCTTCAGTATCTTGAAGGATTTCTCTTAATGTTTTGGTTAAGCCTGTTTTTTTGTCTGTAATTTTCAAATTGAGGACATTCTTCCAGTAAGTGTTTCACTGTTGGTGCAACATTATTGCATTTTTCACACGTGGGCACTTCGAGTCCTCTATGAAGGTAGCCATGTGTAAACTGGCATTGTCCTATCCTTAGTCAGCAAACCATAACTTCTTCTCTCTTTGAACTTCTGTCGCTTGTGAGCCACTTGTGAGGTAACTTTCTTTAATCTTATCTCCCCCGTTTCTTCTTCACTCCTTGCTAAATGGGCTGCTTGGTCACCTCTTTCATTTCCTGCAGTGCTGCAGTGGGCGGGTACCCAAATGAATACTATTCACATGCCTTTGTTTTTTACTTCACACCATACATTTATTATTTCTTTAATAATAGAATTGCTTGGGGATGGGTTGTTGATGACGCCTAAGACATTCAATGAGTCAGTTACGACCCAGCACTTTTTTTTAGAATCTCTTAAAAAATAGACTGTTCATGATGGCAGTCGCCTCTCCTGTAAAAATGGAGCATTCATCTGGCAGTTTAAATAGTAGTTGATTCTCTTTATTTGTTACAGGACATCCTACATTGTTTCCTTCCTTGGATGCTTCTGGGTATATGAATTCGAAATTTGTATAATTTTCAGTAATTTTTAAAAAGATTTCTGGATATCAATCGGGTACGTTCTTGATATTTTGGCCATAGATCTATTTATCACTGGTCTTTTTTGCAATAAGGTGTTCTTAATTCTGAGATGGGTCTAATAATGTTTTTGTCCATGTTTATTTTACTTTATTTATTTATTTAACATTTTGTCATTTGCGCCTGCGCTGCAGCGCATCTAGCAAATTTGATGAATTAGGCATTAACTGTGAGTTTGCTTGATTAACTTATTTTTGTTATTGTTCTAGGAGTAGGTCTCTTGGCCATTTTTGTTTTAGTCTGCTTCCATCAGTTAACAGGGAGGGAGGAAGAAAGAGACAGAACGAGTGGGTTTGGATGATTGAGAGTAGAAGAATGAAATGAAGTGTATTTATCGTGGATGTACAATTTTACTGTTGGGATGTTTAAGTCGTTATGTAGAGTGTTATTTGAAATGTACCAAGGTGCGTTGAAATTTTTCGTAGAATTTTTTATTGTTGTTTGTATTTTATTAACGTGTATTTGTTTTGCCGAACCCCAAAGTTCTGCTCTGTATGTCCAAATTGGTCTCAGTATGGTGTTATAGATCAGTTGCTTGTCATTCTAGCATTTTTTTTTTTTATCTTTTTTTTTTAGACCTGGTTAAAAAAAAAACAGAATAAACATTGTGACTTATCACTTCGTATTCTATTAACTAATATTTGAAAAATATATAATTGCAGTTAGTATTATTAATTTTTCCTGTCGCTTAAATTTCTATGTTGAAAATTGTAGTTGAACTAACATTTGAACAATGTTTAAATCACAAATATTGAATAATATTAGATATCATCTTTGATAATAAAAATAATGCTTTAGGAGACTTCCTCAAATACAATAAACCAAACTTTCAACAATGGCATCTTAGTAATACATTAAGAAAACTTTACCCAAAAATAACAGCAGCAGTAAATTATTCAGAGGACAAAGCTCCTTTTAATATTCAAAAGCCAATTTATAGTAAAAATGGAGTCGAGTTCCAAGGTTTTGCAAAATCACGAAATTTCCATACAGGTAATAGAAATTAATATTTTTTAAAATATGAAACATCAACAAGGACTATTGAAACTGTAATATTCTTTATTTATTCTAAGATCTCTATGAATGGGTTGCCAAAAGTCTTGGTGAAGATTTGTACACAGAAACATGGATAAATGAACGAGGAGTCCTTCCTTCGAATTGTGATAATGACTATAGGTATATTAAATTGATACTTTCTTATTTTTGTGTTTCTTAAAAGTAATTTTAATGGAGTGAAATATTTTTAACTGCATCTGAATCATACTAATACAATATGTATACTACTCTATTTTGTAACAATATTTGCAGAGTAATTAACATAATGTCAATGAGACATCCAAACTTTAATCTTATTTATTCAACTCACAAAGATCATTCTAAGCTGGCTATTGCTGCTTCAAAAGCTAACCCTTGGGTATGTGTAGGTGACATCAATAGAGCTGTAAGTAGATATACAGATATTACTCACTTAATAAGTTAACTCTATTAGTTGAATTTGAAGCTCGTTAATCAGTTAAAATATTTTTAAGAAGATAGAACTGTAATAAACAAATCTAGCTTTATTCTGCAAATCAAAAATTTTAAAGGAAAATGATTGATCTCAATAGTTTCCAATTATTTAGAGTTACAGGTTATTAGATTTGGATTTAATTGGAACTCAATCTAATTAGAATTTACAAAAAAATTAAATATATTGACAAATAATTGCTTACTTATTCAGTATTATTTATTATTAACTGCAACTGTCTTCCTTTTCAATTTGTTGTATGGAACTTTCTTCTAATGTCTTCATTAACAGCACCATTATAGAAAAGAATGCTGGAGGCCTTGATTCAGAGGATCATTGAGTCATAAATGTAAATATATTTGAAATGCACTTAGAGTCAGTCACAAAGATCCAAATGGTCTAAAGGGATTACGGCAGCATTCCTAATTAAAAAATAATTTTAATCTAAATCATTTTTTTGGAGTTTTTGTTTTTTAAGCAAAATATCTTAATATCTTGTTTTTGTATTTTTATAGAAATAATTAATCGATTAAGACTGAATGAAATAACTGTTTTCAGAAATCACAGGAAAATAGAGGAGGAGGAACTGTTTGTTTTAATAATAATAAATTGTGGAATTCATATTTTAAGTTGATAAATTCAACTGAAAAATGTCAGTCATATCTAATTAATACATTCAATCACGAATCACCAAATGTAAAAATTCAAGTGAATCTTTTATGAATATATTTAAATAAATAAATTATTTAATTGTTTTTATCCTGTTTATTTATTTTAATTCATTTATATTTTAAAATAAACCCATACAATTGATCTATTCATATTATACATTGTGAATAAGTATATAACCATATTATATATAATACCATGCAACTACCAATATAAACAGTGATCACTATTTCTTTGTTTTTACTGTGGTCTTTCACCTGGAGGATCTCTCTTAATCCATCAATTTATAAATTAATTTACAATCTTTTTGATTATAAAAACCTGTACCACTAACAACGCACGAAGAGTCTTGGGTTTATTATTATTGGGTGGATACTCTTAATTATTTAATTAAGAGTATCCACTTTATAGAGGTTGGATTTGTCCCAGGAGGGTCTCCTGGTCACAGGGTCGACCCACGGCTGATGAAAAACTACTAGTCATCAGCCAGATTCGAATTTGGGACCTTGAGCTCTGGACAACTGAGCTACCCTGCTCCCTCATTTTGATTATAATCTTCATTATTTCAAATAATTTTGTTAATAGGAATAATTATTAAAGTAGCCAAACTTTTGGGTTAATAGACACTTAAGTTAGAAGCAGCACTGAATTTCTAAAGTATGACTTTTATTTCATATTACAATAAAAATTTTAATCACTAACTAAAATCAGTTGGGAAAAAATCATGGATGAAGGACAAAATTTTGTTAGTATGTATGTTCCACAATGCAATTATATCATTAATTTTCTAAGTTTATATGCTAATGTTACTCCATCACAGTTATAAGAATATCTTTAAGCAATCAATCTATTTTAGGAAGAATAACAAATATTAAATTCACTCCATTGTTTTTTTATATATTAATTTTAAGAAATTTTTAATTATTTTTTTAATAAACAACATGAAAAAAAGTTTCTTGAGAAATTTAAAACTCAATTTAAGAAACAGTGAATAGTGCCTTCTTGAACAGAAAATCTCTAATAATATATTAAAACAATATAAAATGAACTGGTTAAAAAAAATATGTGAAACAGCAGATTTTGCAATAAATACTTTATTGATTAATTCTTTCAGTACACACACTAAAAAAGAAAACAAAGCCTTCAATGTCTTATAATCAGTAGTAGGAAAACTTCACATTTGCTCTTTTATGATAAAGACGTGGGTGTATAAAATGTAGAGATTGACACCTTCACAGTCTGCTTTGGCAGTGAAAAACATTTTTTTACCTTTAAAAATTAAAAGTTGTACACTTGTATATTCAAATATTTCACACAGTGCAAGTAGTATAGATGTATCTTTGAGATACTACAACATTTTTAACTGCCTGAAAACACTCTTGAATGAAGTACAATGTATACTGTGTAAATTTGAACCATGCGCCAGTAGCCTAATGGTTAAAATCTCTAAAATTTATATCATGAATTCATCAAATCAATAGAAGCAGATAGTTTCCACTGGTGAGTCAGAGAACAAAGTTATATGTTTATATTCATGAATGTTTATATTATGAATAAAGAATAAGCAACAAGAGAAGTACATTTAATTCATTGAATGAGAAATTATAAATTATAATCTATTCCTCAAGTATAATTCACAAATTTACTATATTAACACATTAAAATACTCAGTGCAGTATAGTGTACCAATGTTGCGATGAAATAATCTCAAATTACTTAGAATTTACACTCAGTTAGAATTGAAATAGTTGAAAAATTCTGTCATTGCTTGAAGAAGCCTTTGTTTGTAGTGCTCATTTTCCTCCATAGCGAGAAGAATACAGTCAGTTCGATCTTCTTCCATGTAATATTTAAATTTGTCATCATTGTTGATTATATCTTTTACTATATCTGAGGGCATTAAAACAAAATGTAGAAATAATGGAGACAAAGTAATTATAACTGGAAGAGTTTCGTTGAGCATATTTTCAAAATCATTCCATGTCATAATATCATTTATGCTTATGTCTGAGAGTGATAGTTGCACTCCTAAAAAATAAAAATAATGCCTTAGTAGCTGATTGTAGTGTCTGTCTCTAAGTTCTCTATCTGTACACGTGTGAAGAAACAACTGAATGTCGAAAGAAGGAGCTTTATAAGTTGCTATTTGAAAATCAATTATACACGCTTTTGTCAATTTACCACTGTCATCATATTTAAACATGATATTATTCAACCAAAGATCAGAATGTGACAAAACATTCGGGTAGAGTTCAGAACTTTTCATTTTATCACCTACAGTTTCCATGTATTGAAATGCTTTATTGATTAGATCTATCGGATAATGAGCTAAATATATCTCTGTAATTTTCTTCAATGCCTTTGTTCCTGTTTTAAATGCTCTCTTATAACTTTTGTTATCTTTAGACATCACAACTTCATTTTTTATTACCGGTACTAGATCAATTATCTTGCATGCTTCACTTTTTTCGGTTATGAATGAAGCAGCATGAAATTTTGCTATTGTTTCTAATGTTTTTTTGCAATGTAAAAGATCCAAAGGCTCAAATACATTTTTGCTTATAAAACCTTTGTAAGTAAGGTCTTCCATTGCAACAATGTCATCTGATCTTGCTAAGTAGCATTTAGGAATGGTGTTATCTTTTATTAGTTCATGAAAATTGTTTAAAAGTTTGTTGTAAAGAACTACTTCTCTATGAAACCCACCACTGAAAATTATCTTCTGACGGTGATAAAAAGATTGTGGCAATTTCTTTACAAAAATATGAAGCTCCTGGACTTTTCCTTCAAACCTGAATTTAATGCATATCTTTCCTTGAGCACTAAGAAATCCAATAGATACATCTTCGGTATGCAAACTTTCACAAGAAATAAATTCGTAATTATTCGATTTCAAATGATCATTAAGAATATGATTTATGTCTTCTCTCGGTAAACACATTACACAACTGGTAGGAGAGTATTTTCTATTAAGACTAGCACTATGTTTGCTCCATCCAGAATTTACACTACTTTTATCTTTCTTATCAATTCAAGAAAATGATAAGAAACATAAAATTACCTGAGATATATTGTTCTGTATCATACAATAAACATATTCTTAAATCAGTGTGTCACGTTCAACAGAGTTGAAACATGAATTTTCATATTATCTAAAGATAGTTATGCAAATTGTAAATTACTTTCAGAGCTTCTTTCATGACTCTCTGCCCTTTTAAAAATTTACATCAAATTATTTTTTAGATATCAGTAAATTTAAATATAAAAACAATTTTAAAGACTGAAGAGTAGACATCCAAGGTTTTCTACAATTAAGAGAATTATAGTTAAACAAAATACTCATATATGTATGAACATATATGTATGAAAAGATATATATGTACAAATGTATTTATGTGAATGTGTAAAAAAACAAAACATTTTAGGAAAACAAATTCTCATAATGAAGATTAATCAAATGAGAGACATTCAACTATTGGTACATAATTAAATAAATAATATGTACAAATATAGTTTATGTGTAAGTATGTATATGTATATTTCTAATAAAATGTCTTATAATGCATTTTTTAAATATGATATTTTAGTTTTTAAAAATATCTTATTTTTATAATTGAGAAAAAAGTACAAAGAAAATAAATTATAGGCTTACCTACTAAACAATTTACAAAATAAATGAACCTACAGGTTCACAGACAGATTGTTTGATAATTGAAAAAGATTAATGTACAATTGAACTAAATGAATACAGACGTGATAATAGCTTCAAATCATAAGGTAAGGAGCTCCAAAAGCTTGTCCAACTGATAAGAAAAGAATTCGAATATTTTACAGTTTGATCCCTGGTATGTAAAAATCTATAGACGATTTTTTTAAAGACTGCTTGATAAAAATCTTTGTTTAGATATAGTTCTGGTGTTTTTGTTCGAATAATCAGATGATATATATAGAATTATTTTGTTAATTATTATCATTTAAGTATTTATAGTGAGATATAAGGTGGCCAGACCCGACGAGATAAGACAGCTGGGGTTGCAGCACCTGAACAGCGGGGTAGATGAGGTTTTCATTTTACGTTCGACATGAATAATAATTTTGTGATTTCATCACACAATTGTATTGTTGCTTACATTATAAAGGATAAGATTGGGTTTCAGTGCTGAATTAAATATTTGACGGAGGCCCGAAAATATTTATCTCTGAGACTCCTGATTCCTCTTCAAAACTTTGGAAAGTTCGTAATTGAACCAAACGTATAAAAATAATAACCAGCAATACTCGAAATGTGGTATCACTTATGGTTTTACCTATTTTATCCGCAGTCTGTGGCTGTGAATCACGATATCTTTTAAGACGACCAAGAAATTTCAACACTTCATTTAATTTTAATTTTTCGTTCCATCCTCCACTACGTATGGGCATATACCTAGCAATATTTGGTATACTTTTTCTATTTCAACTACATTGTAGCAGAGTGATCACGCCATAGATCGCACATGGAAGTTTTGCGATATTATCAATATAAATAGGACTGTTTCAATACCAGTTTTGACTATCGACTTTGATTATTTTCCTTTCAATATGTTGTGTTATCATATAGATAAAGGGGATTGAACATTATTCGAGGAGATTTGACATTATCGTAATATCAGAAAGAAAAAATGCCAGTATTGAGTTTCAATAACGCATCTTAATCCGAACCAGAGCTCAGAATTTATTTTAATAATGTATTTATTAAGGTGTTAAAAAGATATTCACAATTAAATACATGTACTTATATACTTAATTTCTTAAAAACAAGTATTTAAGTAACTAAGAATATTGTAATTAATGTTAAAGAAGTATATATCATTTTTAAAGGTTATTATTTTATTTTTTTGTCGCTATGACACATCTTAGTTAATTCTAAATCAAATCAAATGACTGAGATATCCATCACAAATGTTGGTAAGTATTAATTGATAGAAATAATGGTATCTATGAAATTCGGATAAGTCTTAATTAATAGAAGTAATAGTAACTTTTAACAATACGAGTTTTTTTTTTTTTTATTGATGATATTTACAAATGTATTACAAATAAAAATACATTCAATAAAGTTGAACAAAAGAATATAATAACATGAAATCACTTGTTGAGAAACTACCCACTGGTAGCACTCTAAAAATGTATTTACAAAAGGAGATCTCGAGGCCATCTTCTTTTCAGTTGCCTCGGAGGGTTGTCAGG